CAAGGTTCTGTACTCAGACCTGTACTCTATCTATTATACACATCTCCTATCTCAGAAATAATCAAGAAATACAATCTTAATTACCACCTCTATGCTGATGACACCCAGCTGTACTTGTCTTTTGATACCAGTGACGTGGATTTGGTGATTGAGCGCATAGTTGCTTGCGTGACTGAGATTTGCCGCTGGCTGCAAGATAATGACTTAAAATAAAATCAGGATAAGACCGATGTATCCTTAATTCATTCTAAATTCTGAAATGGAGTCTCGCTTGATCACATTATTCTTGGAATTGAAAATATCTCCATTGCTAAGTCACTTACCAACCTTGGTATTAGATTTGACAAAAACATGACTTTTGATGATCAAATTAAACATCTCTGCTAAACCTCGTTCTTTCACCTAAGAAATCTGTTCAGGATGTGTCGTTATCTGACTAGTGACTGTGCCTCAAAGGTTATACATGCTTTTATTACTTCGTGTATTGACTATTGGAATCATCTGTACGATGGCTTACCTAAGCATCAACATCAGAAGACTTGTAAACAAGATGTACGAACTCACATTTGGTAAGCTAGTCTCCTATAATTTTTTAAAACATTAATTTAGTTCATGTGCTGTCTTGATTTCTTTGGTGAAGAAAAAAAGAATTAGATGTAAGAGCAAAAGTGCAGTCTTTAATAATCACATGGTAGCAATTAAAACTAAAAAATAGATTTAGTCCCTATCCTCAGGCTTGGTGAATATGATTAGAAATTAATTTGTGATGAAGCATTTTTTTGTTGCCTCTCTAGGTTTATCAGAAAGCGGAACAATTTTTCCAATCAGTGAAAAGAGGCCACCCCCCTTTGTTGCAGCTGATCAGCCTGCTAAACGACTCTGAGAAGAATTGATTCACTCAACTCCTCATGAACTTCAAGGTAATATCAGTAAAAAAAAATTAATGATGTCAATTAATCCAATATATTTCAAATTGGTTTCCAAAATTGCAAAGATTACCAGTAGTCTAAAATTTTTTATGCCAGAGCCATGCATGCACTTGTCAATCAGCTGTTGCAAATTGAGTTAACCTAGAGGAGTCTTCTGAAATCATTCAATTTGCCTTTTGTAGGTGCAGAAGGCCCCTCTGTTGGCCACTTGCCACAGTCATCCATGGAATATGAACAGTTTTCTCTATCCAAAGTTGCTGCATCTCAAAACAAACCCACTGATCAAAGAAGTTTCACTCAGAGTGAGTACCAAGTACAAAAAATTAATTGTATGTTATTTAGGATACTTTATAGAAAGTTGAAGATCGTAGTAAAAGCAAAAGTATAGTAAATTGTAGTAAACATTTTGTAGAAGCTTATGTTTTTAGTATTTCTGTTAAATTAAATTTTGTGATCAGTTCCATCGAGAGGTATAGGACATATTATAATTATTATAAGTGGCTTTGACTTTTATCCTGTCCTATACATTAAACTTTCATTTTTCAAGAATGTTTCATTGTCAAAAAGTGTACTTAAATTTAAAAGGCTAAAAAAAAAAAAAAGTAAAATCGTCATGTGTGATATCTAATTCATGTCAGGCCAGAACAGATATCCATCCTCTGAGCATTGTCAGAATCCATTCGCTGGAGGCAGTTCAACATATTGTGCAGGACCTGAACATCAAAGAAGTCATCCTCAAGGTGAGATGGGAACATAACTAGGAATTGGTAGCTACTACATATAAGAAGCTTGTTGAGAGAGGCTAGTTGAGAATGTTGCCCGAGTGCCTATCTATTTTGCCATGTGTTTTGACTGGGCTTTGCAGTCCTAGTTACTAGTTCAAATCCTCCCTCTCCACTTCTTTTGCCTTGCTTGCAGGCATGGCAGTTATATAGTTACTGCAGCAAATACCAGTAAGTACTACAGCTTCCTCAAGGAAGGTTTTCTTAAAGCTTCTCATTGAAAAGGGGTTTAACCTATTGACCTCTTTACGTTGCTTAAAGTGGTCACTTTCACTTAACATTTGGCAGGTGTTTTAACCCATTTCATTTCACAAAGCAGGTTTGGATCAAATTTGTGTTTTGCTTTTACATCAAAAGGTTCTTCTAGCTATAGCTCACCTGCTCCTGTAGCTGTGGATCATACTCAAGGGAGTCTTTCTGAAGCCTTTGTAATTCAGAATTATCATGGGAGCCAGAACTATTCTCAGAGTGAGTACAGAAAATTTCTGATAATTTGGTGTTTGATTAAATTACATTAGAAATGACAAGTATCTAGTTTTTTTCTTGGCTTAACCGCTCTGATTAAATCTTTTGTCATACACTGCATGTATAGTTCCCTTAAGGACTTTCTTTACTTCACTTACATGATGAGATTGGAAAAGTCCATTGTGCATACCACACTGTAAGCATTGTATTAAGATAATTATAACCCTTAAATGTGTAAATGGCATGTTTGGTTTCTGATCCATACCAGGCCACAACAGGCATCCATCTTCTGAACACAGTCAGAATCCATATGCTGGAGCCAGTTCAATGTATTATGGAGGATTTGATAATCAGGAATGTCATCCTCAGGGTAAGATGACTAAACAACCAGGTATTATTTTACCAAACAGTGTGGATGATTTTGTTAAGCATGTAGCAGCTACTGTATGTTAGGAGTTTGTAGAGAGTGTTGGATTTTTACAGGATTCTGTAGTTCTAGTTACTCTCTCCAGGCCTCCCTTTCTACTTCTCTGCCTTGCTAGTTAACATGGCAGCAGTTAATGAAGCAATCACCTGTAAGCACTACTGTAACAGTTTCCTCACTTAAGATTTTCTTAAATCTTATCATGTTATTTAGGATACTTTATAGAAAGTTGAAAATCGTAGTAAAAGCAAAAGTATAGTAAATTGTAGTAAACATTTGTAGAAGCTTATGTTTTAAGTATTTCTGTTAAATTAAATTTTGTGATCAGTTCCATCTAGAGGCATAGGACAAATTATAATTATAAGTAGCTTTGACTTTTATCCTTTCCTATACATTAAACTTTCATTTTTCAAGAATGTTTCATTGTCAAAAAATGTACTAGAATTTAAAAGGCTTAAAAAAAAAAAAGAAGTAAAATCGTCGTGTTTGATATCTAATTCATGTCAGGCCTGAACAGATATCCACCCTCCGAACATTGTCAGAGTCCATTTGCTGGAGCCAGTTCAACATATTGTGCAGGACCTGAACATCAAAGAAGTCATCCTCAAGGTGAGATGGGAACATATTAACTAGGAATTGGCAGCTACTACATATGAGAAGCTTGTTGAGAGGGGCTAGTTGAGAATGTTGCTTGAGTGCCTATCTATTGTGCTATGTGTTTTGACTGGGCTCTGCAGTCCTAGTTAATTGTGATTCTTTACTGTGTCAATTTTTTTTCATGGCTTGTCACCTAAACATTTGGATGTGTTTCACAATAACACTTAGAGATTTGAGATGCACACCAGGTAAAATTATAAGGACTACATGTGATTAATTTTTACTTTTCATTACATTGCAGGTGACGAGATAGATGTTGGTGTTGAAGCAGAACACCTAAAACTTGCTAAATCCAAAAATCCAGGAACAGAATCTGTCTCAGAGACTAGAGAGAAATTCTTTTATTTGGTCGGGAAACACTATTTACAGACTATGAAACCACAGAGTAAGAAGGAGTATGATGAGTTTCTGGATTACTTGCAAAAACTGGGGGCTATCATGACAGATGTGCGATATGGAAGTTTGGTGATAACAGTTAAGTGTGAATCTCTCCAGATCTTGGAGGACTTGTGGAAAGATTATTCATCTGGTCATCTTGATGAAGTGGTTCAAAACTGTTTTGTGACTGAAAAGATCTTGAAGGAGATGAACCTGGCTGAGCTGAGGCTGAAAACAACAATGGACATAGAAAAGTACAATGCATGCAAAGTGTACTTTGAGAAAGTTGTACTTAGAGGTTAGTGCTGTACAAGACTAGATCCGCTCAATAATATTTCCAAACGCATCTCTCTTTCAACTTGGAGTAGGTTTTGAAACTGTTACAAAATGAAGATATTGGTATAGTTTTCTATTGAGACAGAACATGTTTATGTGCTGACTGTCCAAGTCCTGCTACAGGTGATTTGTTTGCAAGATGTTATTGAACTTTCTTGATTTCTTCGTTTGTTTGTCTGTCTGTCTGTGTTTAAAAAACCTTGTTAATTTCCACCAACCTGCTCTTAACTGTTTCTTGAGATAGTGCTTTAATTTCTTCCTTTGGCGATGTTTTATCCTACACTGAATTAATTTAAAATTAATTTTAAAAGAATGAACAAGCCAACAAAATCAGTCAGGTATAGTTTTGGTTGATAAACTTAATGATGAATGGTTGAGAACAAATGGCGATCATCTAAACTTGAATCTGACAAAGTGAAATTCTTGTCTCAATTGTGATATTGAAAATCAACTGCTACATCGAACGAAGGAGGCCTACTCTTCTACCTTTATTGAAGAAAGCTCCCATGACCCTACTTTACTTTTTAGATCTGTTAACAAGATGCTTACAAAAATCCCAATAAGAGTTATCCGGCTGCTGAAAACAATGTCGAACTTACAAATGCTTTTGCTGACTTCTTTCAATCTAAAGTTGACGGCATCCGGCATAAGATTGCTGACGGGAGGCGTGTAAACAACCAATAATTTGAGCCCTGTTCTGCTGAGTAATCATGTTGTTCATCAGCATTTTCATCATTTGTTCCTCTTACTGATGTTGAAGTCATTGATCTCATTAAAAATAATACAATTAAGTCATGCTCACTCGATGCTCTACCTGCTACTGTTGTGCGGAAGTGTTACTTGAAATTGGTGCCTGCTCTGAAAAATATATAACAGGACTATATAACAAGGCAAAGAAAACAGGGTCTGATCAACACTGGAATAAATTTTGGCAGCCAGGAAATGCGTGCATAGAAATCTTAAGTCTTCTGCTAGGGAAGAGTATATCAGTAACCACCTTGGTGAGGCAATTAGAGAAAACCCAAAACGTTTTTGGTCCTACGTAAAGCGACTTTACCATGATAATCCGGGGGTTGCATATTTTGAAGTGGACGGCAAAGTCGTAAGTGATAGTGGTCTTAAATCAGAAATTAATTTTTAAACAGGCAATTTTGGAGTGTGTTTACTAAAGAAGACCCTGAGAGCATTCCAGAAATGAGATCTGATCCCACACCTGGCTTGGGCCCTTTGATTATCTCAGGAAGGGAGTCTTAAAACTTGTGTCCTCACTAAACCCTAACAAAGCCTGTGGCCCTGACCAGATTCCACCCTGGTTTCTCAAAACTTTTGCTGCAGACATTACTCCAATTTTGACTGACATCTTTCAAGACTCGGTAGACAGTGGTACTGTTCCCCACAGGTGGAGAGAGGCAAATGCGTGCGTAGTTTTTAAAAAGGGAAAGAAATCTGCTCCAGCCAATTATAGGCCGTTATCCCTTACTTGTGTTGCGTTGAAGATCCCTGAGCATATCATCCACTGCTTCATTGTGAAACATTTAAACGATCATAACATCTTAACTGACTGTCAGCATGGTTTTGAGAGCAAAGAGATCTACAGAGATGCAGCTAATTCTCACCTTACATGACATGGCAAAGGCTATTCAGAGCTCATCGATTCACGCGGTTGTCCTGGACTTCGCTAAGGCTTTTGACAAGGTTCCTCCTAGGCGTCTCCTAAGGAAACTGCAATACTATGGAATCCAGGGCCGGCTTCTAACCTGGCTGGAGTGATTTCTTACACAACGTTTCCAGTCAGTTGTCTGCGAAGGCCAAACATCACATCAAAGCCCAGTGACTTCTGGCATACCCCAAGGTACAGTCCTTGGCCCGCTACTCTTTTTATTATATCTAAACGACTTACCAGACAACGTGCAATTAACAGTTAGGCTCTTTGCGGACGATGCTTTACTCTATGGCATTATCGCCAGCAATGCAGACTGTGACCTCCTTCAATCTGACCTACTCAGACTAGAATACTGGCAACACTATTGGCAAATGGAGTTTAATCCTTCCAAATGTAAAATTGTTACCATCTCACATAAGATCAACCCAGCCCAGAGAAAATACGTCTTCTGTGGTGTCGAACTGGAACAGGTGGATAGCTTCCCATATCTTGGGGTTACTATTAGTAACAAGCTTAAGTTGTCAGATCACGTTTCCATAATAACAGCTAAAGCAAACAAGTCGCTGGGTTCAATTTAATGTAACTTTTGGAATTGCCCAAAGAATGTGAAGGAAATTGCATATACATCCCTAGTATGGTCGAAGCTGAAATACGCGAGTGCGGCTTGGATCCGTTTTTAAAGAAAGATGTCAGTGCCCTGGAAAGAGTTCAACGTAACGCAGCACAGTTTTGCTCGCAGAATTGTCATAGGTATGCTAGTGTTACTGGCATGATCGAAGATTTAGGATGGACCATGTTGGAAATGAGAAGAAGGTAGTCTTCGTTAATACTTATGTATAAGATAACTCGCAGTCTTATTGACACAGACAATCGAGAATATTTAGTACTGCACTCTGAGAGTCGCACGAGGGGAAGCCATCAATTTAATTTTCGAGTGCCATATTCAAGTAAAGACGTTTTCAAATTTTCCTTTTTTTGCAAGAACTATAACAGACTGGAACTGCCTCCCTGAGACCATTGTTTCGTCAACTTTCATAGAAACTTTTAAACATAGGTTATCAGCCTTTTTAAATGATAGTTGTACATAGCTTATATAGTTTTTCGTAATTTAATTTTTATTTTCAACATCAACAGAATTGTTTTTTATTCATTTCCTTATTACCTTTATCCAGTTATTTGCTTTATTTTTACGGTTGGTGTGATATGTTGATGATTTTACCGACCTAATAACATGTAAATGTAAATGTAAATATCATTAACGTATCACTTTCTACTGGTGAGATGCCAAGGGATCTCAAGACTGCTATGGTGAAACCTTTGTTAAAGAAATCTAATTCTGGCTCTGGGGATTTCGTGAATTTTCGTGCTGTGTCCAATCTGAAGTTTGTTTTTTAAGCTAATTGAAAAATCTGTGTTTTTACAACTTAACACATATCTTACTACCAATGCGCTACACAAACCTCTGCAGTCTGCATATAAGACTGCATAGCACTGAAACTACAGTTTTGAAAGTACACAGTGACATCATGTTATCTCTTGATAAAGGCAAGATAGTGATCCTGATTCTCCTGGACCTGTCTGCTATGTTTGACACTGTAAACCACACCTTTTTGTTGGCGGGACTTGATAAACATTTCGGTATTAACGGCACTGTTCTGAATTGGTTCAGTTCATACCTCTGGGAACGCACTCATTTTGTTGACATTGATCAATCTCAGTCCTCTGTGCGGGATCTTTTTTAGTTGGTGTTCCTCAAGGTTCTGTACTCAGACCTGTACTCTATCTATTATACACATCTCCTATCTCAGAAATAATCAAGAAATACAATCTTAATTACCACCTCTATGCTGATGACACCCAGCTGTACTTGTCTTTTGATACCA